GGAGAGAGAGAGAGAGAGAGAGAGAGAGAGAGAGAGCGAGAGAGAGAGGAGAGGAGAGGAGCAGGGGAAAGACGGGGGAGGGGAAGAAGAAGAAGAAGAAGAAGAAGAAGAAGAAGACCATGAGTAGAAGTGTCAAAGCGGAGGAGACAAGCCCAGGCCTGGACCTGAGAATAATGATCACTCCAGCTGATTGTATCAGCTAGCATGACTGTTCCAACCGTCGCTCTGATACACCAGCCAGCCATCTCCATTTAACAATCTTCACCTTGTTGTTCTTATATGATTTTCAGTGTTCCCTTTTATAGATTTTTCTCGTCCTGTCTTACAACCTTCTTTGAAAGCGGTTTGCAATTATTCCCTCATCAGGTTGTGGACAATGATTGGTGCAGAGCTTTTCTGTTGGGCCTTAACAGTATATTCAATATTTTGTTTCAGAATGTAATGATGCATCAATATTGTGCTGGAAATGTCACATTCTTTGAGAAAGAATAGCTAAAAACATGCTTGGTTAATGTATTTACGCTCAATTGAATGGTAAAGATCACAGTACTAAGGTTGTGCTGATGGCATGCCTTCTACCTTTGTGCGGGTTGTTCTTGATGGTATACACCAGATCTATTTTTGAAACTGGAAAAAAGGCTGTACCACCTACCCTCGGTTTAGTGTACGAACTTTAGCCTGATATATTCAGATGAGTTATTCCAGCAGGGGTTTTGAGAAAACGAGTTTAGTGGTGTGTATTTGCATTTAAGCTTTGCGCTCCAGTCTCTCTAGCTGACTTTAGAAACCACTGCCTTCTTTTCTGCTGCACATTAGGAAACATGATTTTCAGAAAATATCTAGGTTGGCACTTGGTTTAAATGGCACATTTTCAAATGTATTTATGGCTTGAGTTAAGCATTTCCCTGCATTACAGTGTAATCTCCTATAATACGTTATAACCTGCCCCGATCGGGGGCATTACAGATGTGTGTCCATATTCCCAGCATGCCCAGGGCTTTAGGAACATCATGAACACAAGTGCTACATGCTACAGTTACATCACTCCTGAGCTCTGGCTGTAGCTCTGTTATTGCAGTACATCTCTTCAACCAAATGTGTTCTTCAGTGACTAGAAGTAGAGCCGTTTGGTACAGAATAGGTCATTAATATATGGTTTCAACAGTAAATGAGATTCATCTGTCCTATTTCCATATGAGGGCCTCTCGGGAGGATCAGGTGTTGCTGTCCTCTTCTTTGAGCCACACCCTCCCCCCC